CACAGTCTCCCTGTGGACACGAAAGAACAATTAACCGAGGGTGGAGGGCCAGCCTCCCTGACTCCTGGGACCATTGCTGGAACAGCCACCCCACCCTGGCTCTGGGCTGGGCTGGGCTCCTTCCTGCCTTCGGTCTCATTCTCCACCCCAGTCCATGTTTCTGTGCTCACGACCAGCTGGGGAGACTGAGGCGCAGCGGCTCAGGGTTCCGTCCAAAGCCCTACAGCCGGGACAGCAAGGCAGTGCAGAGCTTCAGGCCCAGCCTCTTTCCCGTCTCTGAGGCTGCTCTCCCAGGAAGCACCCCTTTCGTCCTCTGGGAAACGCTCCCCATCCCAGGGCTAGCAGGACACAGAGGACCGGCCCGGGCGGAAGGACGGCACCTGTTGGAGTGCTCCTGGACCACCTGGAACACGCTGACGTGCAGAGTCGTGTTGAGCAAGTGGGTGCTGGGCACCTTATAAATCCGGAACTCGGCAGCGGTGACGGCCTCCCTGGCCGGGATCTGTGTCAGATCGAAGCGGAACTCCTTCCAGTGGGGCTCCTGGTGGCCCAGGGCATGGTCACGCTCCACTGGAAGACAAAGCGGGAGAGGCAGTCGAGAGCAGCTGAGACGGCTTGGGCTCTGGAGTGGGAAGCCGGGCAGCCCGATCAGGGCCAGCTTCCTCTTCTGCAGGCTCTGCCCCAGGTGTACACAGGGCTCCACCAGTCCACCAGGTTAGTGAGGAGCTCTGGCAAGTGCTCCACGGGCCGTGCCCCAAACCCCACTTGCAACCCCGCACTGGGCCCCCTGCTGGCCCTGGGACCGCAGAGGAGACCGTGGACAGTCCCTGCTGTGGGAGTGCCAGGCCAAAGGGGAGGCGGACATCAGACCCAAGGCAGAAGGCTCTGGTCTGCTGGGGGCAGGGACATAAGTGGCTGTATTTCAGTGGGACAAGGGCCACCCGGGCCCACCCTACGCCTGGGTGGGAAGTAGGTGAGCAGACAGCTCTGATCCGACAGCCGAGCCCAGCCCGCGGGCTGAGTGAGAATTTGCCTTGGTGTCCAGGGAGAGGACCCTGCAGAGGACGGGACAGTGGAGCAAGGCTGAAGGCAGAGGGGCCTGAGAGCAGGGAAGGAGATCCACTGCCAGAAGCGGTTAAGTCCCTTTAGAGGATAGGGGAAGGAGGCAGGAGGGTGGTGGAGGGAGGAGAAACCCCAGGGTAGGACAAGGAGCTCCTGGAGAGGCCCAGTCAAGGCTGGGGAAGCTGGAGGGTCCCAGGAGTGGCAGGATCTGAGCAGGCTCCCCGGGGGCAGTGATTTCTGAACTGGCCTGGAAGGGTGAGCAGGCACCCAGGCAGGGAGGGGCCCGGTGTGTCCGGGTGAGGGGCTGGGGGCTCCCCGAGTCCTGCGGTGCGGTCGCGTCAGGGTGGAGCCAGGCCTGCCTGTGAGCCGGACTGGGCTGGGGACACAGCTGTGCCTCTGGGGAGCAGCGTGGTGTGTGGGGTGCTGGGGGCCCGTGGGGCAGCGGTGAGAATGGAGGTGGGGCCCACTGGCGGGGGCGGCCTCTCTGTTTGGGCAAAGGCCACAGTGGTGGAATGAATCACACATTTGCCCAGCTGCACGGAAATGCCCAGGGTGGTACACTTAGGCCAGTCTCCCTTTAGCCTCTCGTCACTTTCGAAAGCCAAAAATCTGTGTTTCCGGAAAGCAGGAGTGGGAGCCGCCCAAGTGCCTCGCCCACAACCCGACCCTGAGATTTTAATTATATGTGTGTGAGTCTTTTAAAAAACCCTCTCTGGCTCAGTGACCACAAGTCAGGTTTAGAAAAGCACCAGGTTATGCAGCCAGGCGGATGTGGGGAGCACTTCCTGTCCCCATGGTGCGTGGCCCCGGCATGGACAGGCACACATCTGTGCTGGGCAGGGCAGGGACGGGCACATTTGGGCAGGAGCAAGTGGGAGGCTTTGTCCCCAGACCAGGGAGGAGAAGGAATGGTATGTGCGGGTCCCCCAGCATAGGAGGGGCACTGGGGCATGCAGCACATGCCCACTCAAGAGCCAGGCTGTTTTCAGAGGCAGGGAGGGTGACAAAGGCCAGGTCTGGGTCCCTACCCTACAGGCAAAAAGAATGAGGTCAGGGTTCTGGGGTTTTGCTGAGTGATTCTTCTTTGAGGACCTACACCTGTGTTTCCTCCCACCTACAGATACACAAATGCCGTAGGTGACAATTTCAGTCGATGCAGGAACTGCAGACACCTGTTATGTGACTGTGTAAAGATTCTCAGATGTGCAAGATAAAACAGATCCAGGATGTTAACTATGAACATGAGACAGAAAGATGGGTCTACAGGCAGCCCCTTCTCCCTACCTTTCAAAGCATCATATGTGCCTGCTTCTGGGTACAGTGCCATGGACAAGTGCATCCTGGGGCTTCCTATTGGATCTGGAGACTAAAGGAGCAACCCACACAACTGCGGGCTCCAAGGTCTGTGGCTGCCCCTGTGTGGCTTGCACAGGTTATCTAGAAACATTCTTGTTCAGCTGAACTGGTCCTACTTCCAAACTTCTCTGTCATGAGTTTGAGAAATCAATAAACTGCCCAGGAAAGTGCCCACTCTGGCTGTTCCAAGAATGCACTAGAAGTTGGGAAATCTTTAGGAAAACAGTAATTTTCATCTGAAATTGGTAAAAGTTCCCGTGGTGCAACACTGAATCAGATATTACTGGAATTGGCCAAAGGGAGTGCCCCTTTCTTTGCTGACCTGGATAGACCCACAGCTGCTCAGTGTCTGTTCCTTGGGTTGGGAAAGCTGATGTCGTGGACGAGCCCTTGTTGGGACCTGGATTTCTCCCCACAGTGCTTCTGGGCAGGTTACTTCTGCTTTAACAACGGGGGCAGCTCCGAGAGGTATAGCTGATTTGGCGCACCTGGTGTTCTGATCTCACCAGCCCTCAGATGCTTCCCCGCTTCCCTCTGTGAAGTGGAAAGGCTGGGAAAGGGCAGGAACTATGGGATGGGAGTGGTGGTCATTCCTCGGGACGTGGGAGAGGCACTGATCTCCATTTTCCTAATTTATTCCAGGTGCCAGGCAACACTATCAGGAGGCCACGCCTGAGATTTAAAGAGCAACAGGTGGGGGTTGAAGGGTATTTCAGCTTTCTTTTTCTTTCTCTTTTTAGAGGCATATAGGGATTTATTAGGCAAAAATGTAAAAGTACATATTCAAAGAAATATGTAGGCTCTCCACTCTACTTTATTTTCCTAAATCAAAATAAGAAATGAAAAACTGTATCATGAAAATGTATCAGTTCAATGGAGAGGCACTTGGGTGGTTTCCAGGTGCTTTCCTCTTACCTGCTTGACCTTAGTCATGCACTTAACCTTCTGGGCTCAGGACCCTAGCTGCCACATGACTTGCATACAAGGCCAATAGAGATCTGGGAAGAGCTAGGCTTGTTCTTGTCATCAGTACTTGGTTTTGGTCCAGCAGATGCCACTGACAGGTTATCCAGGAGTATTTCCTTTCTGGTGTGTGCTTACCCCGACCTTCCCATATAACCAAAGTCTGGAATCTCCCAAAGATCCAGGACTTAGAGGCAGCCCTCAGCAACACCACTGGGAACATCTCCCACACCTGGCTCAGACAGACACCTCCAAATATGACCTGTGCTATTTTGGAGCAGGAGGGGAACCTGTGAGTTAGGGTCTAGCTGTGCGGTCCAGGCTGGCCTTGTACTCGCACGCCTCTTGCCCGAGCCTCCTCCGTGCTGGAATACAGGTGTGTAACACCACACCTGATTTGTACTTAACGTGCGGCCATGGGACCCAGGGTTCCTTCCACACAGTGCTAACAGCATATGATTTTGAAAAAAAGCACCATAAAACTAAGTTGGGGTTGTCCAAAAACCGGTCGCTGCTAGAATACACAGCACAAAATGCCTGCTCTGCTTCCATCCTGTTTCTCTGGCTCGAGGGTCCACAGAGGCAATTTCTGGGATCCCTTGGGTTTTCCCAGTAAAATTCTGCTGCTGGCTCTGGGGTTGGGAAGTCCATGTCTGTGTCTCTGGCAGACTCAGGCTGGGGCTGCAGTGGGGGAGGTGCCCCCATGTGACCACCATGCTGGATGGAGCCCATCTGGGATCTGTCTGGCCAGGAATCCTCTCCCCACGGTGGTCCTGGGGGGAGGGGGCGCTCATATCTGGAGCAGGGTTCCTGAGTGGTCCTTACTCCTCCTGTTTGCAAAATCTGGGGTGGGGATTCCTACTGTTAGGGGTCTCATAAATTCATTTTGGGGCACGTGGGAAAAAGATTCGTGACTCGGTTTCTTTCTAATGGTGTGGAAGCCTTTCCATGGTCCTTCACTTTTCCCATCCATTTTTTTCCTGCCACAATCAGGAATGTTAATTAATTCACATATTCGACACCCTCAGAAGCAGCACTTATTGTACACAAGCCACTCTGTGGGCACAGGAATCACTGCAGTGAAGAGGGCAGGCCAGCCCCTGCCTCCTGGAATTTATACCATATGGGTAGTCACATGAACCCAAGAAAGTATGTCAGGCGTGGTGGCACATGCCAGTAAAAAAATCACATTATTGTGCTGACATCATCCTGTAACTATTATAAATGTATTATATATAATGATACACATATAATTATAAAGCAAACCATTGCTGTCATGTTGTCAGGACCAATTATTCAGTGTAAAAGAAAACAAAAATATAAAGACTAGGATTTTAAGCAAGAGCCTACCAACCTAAATTTGAATTCAAAATGTCAGTTTGACCTCGTTTTTTTGTAATCTTAGAAAACACGTTATTTGTCAACTTTGTTCACTGGAAAGGCACAGAAAGGATGCCAGGTGGAGGCAGCCTCCAAACACCATTCCTAGCCTGGACTTTATTCTCGGACTGGAAATCAGAGAGGCTCTCAGAAACTCCCAGGGACGCAGAGGCCAACATACAGGGGCTTCATAATGGCCACAAGAGGGACAACATGGACACCAGGAGCACGCCAAAACTCATCACGGATGTTAACATCTGTAGTGCATCAGCATCAAACATTGGTCTCCTCGGGACAGGTTCCTCAACTCTGGCACTACTGATGTTTTGGGCAATCTATCCTTTGTCTTGGGCACTTTCTTGTGTATTACTGGGTGTTTAGCAACATCCTTGGCTTCTGCCCATTAGATGCTAGCAGGACCCCATTCCACTCCTCCAGTGCAACAATCCAGTGTGACTCCAGGTACTGCCCAACGCTGCGTGGGGCAAAACTGTCCCTGGTTGAGAACCACCACCTTTGGCTCATGCTCGTAACCCATCCATTATTTTAAAGCCTGGTAAACGGAGTTTACAGGAGATGGAACCAGCACTGGACGAAGTAGAGGAAGAGGGAAGCTGAAATGCAAAGGCCCTGCATGTTTGAGAAACTTCAAGGAGACAGGTATGGCTGCCACTCAGTACTGAGGAGGTGAAGCGCGCAAAACGCCACCACCTGATGGATTTGGCTTTCGAGAACTCAGCACGGTGAGCCCAAGCTCCTGGGACTGAGGAGGGGTTTTATAAAGTTCAGCTGATCCTGATGTGGTGACAGTGCATGACCCCACTCAGGACAAACACCTGCAGAGTTCCCAGCACTCACTGGGACCCTTAACAGTCAGCTCCATAGGGGAACAGGGGCTGGAGGGACATGGGCCGGACATCAGGGATGAACAGTTATGGCTACAAAGCTCCATCT